TGTAGATCTTTTTAGCAAATATAATTTGATGTTTTAATAAATTTAATATGGAGTTTGATTTTTCTTGGTTTTGTTTTAAATTGTATTTATCTTCGTTTCGATTTAGACTGCTGAATATCAATTTGCTTCTTCTTGAATTAATATTCTTATTTTGTGTGTAATAAAATATCTACGGTATAAACTTCTGACTAGCTAATTTCTATACACTGTGTAACTAAAATTAATATATTTTTTAAGAACCTTTATTATAGTCCTTACCTTTCTTCTTGTTAAAGGCCGGGCCCTTTCAAGCTACCTTGGTAAACATAGTTAAAGCATTATAAATTAGCATTCATCTCAGTACAGAGCTGCAGCTATAAGTTTAAGGTCAGGAATGCACACCGCCTAGTAATTAATACAAATTTTAAGCCGCTTTAATAGAATTCCCATTGTTCTGACGCTGTCCTGTCTCCTTCTTAAGAACCATAATCCAGAACACTTTACACCAATAATTCTAAACCTTACCACTTTCGAAATAAGAACTTGTACAACCGAATCATTAAATTAGTTTTCAGTTCAGCGAATACAAAATTGATAGCAGTTCAATTAGGGAGATTTCAACCTTGTTTCGTATGCTGTAAGGGTTTTGGTGTGTGTATTAGGGTGGTAGTTTTAAGGGTGTCGACCTCGACCATGTGTGACCCACGTGACTTGTGACTATTTGTCATTCATGAGCTGTTGTTTGAAGAGACATGAATCTATTTAGATTGGTACCTGCATGCTGTGAATGAGCGTATATTTTACAAATACAATTACAAAATGGTAATGTGTGAGCTCGTTCTTAGAACTCTGAAGAGCATTGGTGTTCGTGCTACATATTTAGGCGAGCTATTCTTTAGTAAGTTCGCTTTAAATACTATTGTTAAAGTGGTTCTATCAGACATATGTTAACAGTCTTAATTTGCTAAAGTATTTACATTTTTATATGCGATAGTTCGGCAAACGAGCTGGCGGATTACCTGATGGTAGGCAATCGGCGCCGCCCGTGGACACCCGCATCACGAAAGGAGTTATGAGTGCATTGCCGGCCTTTTAGGGATAAAGGTTTTGTATATTTAAGGATTGGGGAGGGATGGAGGAATGTGGAGGGATTGTGCCTCCGGATCTCACTCACACGGCGAAACACGATGCTGTGGTTGTTTCACACCGGGTTTTTTGTGAGGCCGTGGTATCACTCCGGTCGAGCCGACCTATTCGTGCCGAAGCTTGGCTCTCCCACATTTGATGCAATTGTTTTACAATTTTCAACTTTTTAAAATATTGTCTTTAAAAAGGTTTGCGTGTTAATTTGATGACGAAAGCTAAAGGTTGTAGAGAGATGTTATATCAACACTACATAGTAAAAAACAAAGTCGCTTTTTCTGTCTCATCGTTCAGTATGCTTAAATCTTTAAAATTACGCAAAGGATGTTTTTTGATTTTTGGAGTTTGGGGCGAAATGCTATCAATTTTTTTCTATATATTTTGTTTAATATACTTTGCCCCACACTGGGTGCGTTTACAAACATAGAATTTCACACACACATCACACCCAGACCCAGAACAACAATTTGTGGATCACACAGAGTTTTTCCGTGTGGGAATCGATCCCGCCACACGTTGCGTGGCAGCCAGTTGTCCAGCCACCTGAATTATGTGGTTGGTCTGTCGTGAGCAGTTAAGGTATTTGTTATCGTTGACTTCCGTTCGTTTTTTGTTTTGTTATTAATTAAATATATTCTTACATTATAAGATAGATGACCCTGTATACCTCAATAATATTACAACCCTTTCCTACTACTCGTGGACTCAAATAGACAATATTGTTTCGAACTTTCCATGGTCTGTTGAAATAATCTATAACTTTTTCTTTTGTTATCACCATCCTTGATCGGCCTTATTTTAGGGTTACTACTTACCTACTACTTGGTACTTTTTTTCATTTTTATTTTCCAGCCAAAAAAATGCCGTACGCATACACACACCGTCCGGGGAGACGGTGAGGCTATGTGGGGATTACACCCACTAAAAAACTCAGCTTTCGTGCCGTCTTCTGCCTTTTGGGAGAAGCCACGAGGATCAAAGAAGCCACAAGCACCAAAAACGACTTTCGTGACCTCTCGGCAGAGGCTGGTCGCTTCCATCTATCGGCGATCCATCTCAGCAGCAGCTCGTGCAATGCAGGCAAGAGTTACACGTTCTGCTACCCACTGGCTGTTGCTAGGGCGGCATCTGGGTGGCATAATGCTTCGGACGCCTTCTTCACAAAAGGAAACTACAGATTCCCAGCCGGCTTCGCTGTCGATTATAACCCTCACCAAATTCGGCAGCAAGAAGTAATTACCTGTACAAGCGGCCAATGCATGGCGCTGTTCTTTCCAGGCGGGACATAGCTTAATGGTGTACCGAGCTGTGTCAGGGCCGCCACACTTACTTGGTACCTATGTTAACTCAATTTAACAAATAGCCCGTGGCTTAACTCTGTCAGTTATTGTGGCAGACGGGAAACTACGGGACTACAACGCGGCAAATACTATTGTTTCATTTTAACTCCACGCTCTTGGCGGTTTTATCAGTTAATACACGAGTAAGTCGTTTTCTTTTATCTAAATAAAAACTGTATGTCTCACGGTAGAATTACTATTTAAGAATAATATTTTTAAATGGATACCAAAACAAAGCCACCGGTTTTTAGATAGTACTGCGGGTAATGACCCTGAACATAGACAAACTATAGTAGTATTGCATTCTAATCTGACCAAACCTCGTCAGCTCGAGTTAATGAGTGACTAAGTAACAGACTTGAGTTATAAACCAGTCAATATAATTTACTAAAACTACTAACTTTAATACTCACTTAACACTGTTGTTATGTATGTGTATAACAGAGAGTATTACAATATGTATATATATCAGTCGGCTACACCAATTACATTAATTCTTTGTATGCTGTGTTTCCAAAGTTCAAGATTTTTCTGCAAAAAACACGTAACTATTTATGGTCTACTGTAGACCTTACTTTTGTTCCTTTTTGAGATGGGATTATCTTCTAATGGTTTCCCCAGGTCTAGGAATTGAGAGAAAGTGTCAGACTCTTACAGTTTAAAAACCAACCAGTTCTTTCTCCTAGTCTGGGCCGTGGGGGCACGGTCCATTATTGCTCTTGCACCGGTAACACTTCGGTCGTATTGGGTCCCGGTATACCGCCGTTTTCGCGAATCATTTTCTCAACTACCTTCTAGTTGTAGTTCACTGGTCCCCTAGCTGGGAGTGCTCTCACAATAGCCATACTCCTCTACTCCCTAGCTATAAAATACCCTAGTCGCACACCAGGACTTGTTATTTTTTTATAGAGTCTATTTTCTCCGGATTAAGCCAAGACCGTCAACCCGGACCGAGACTTAAAACATGACCATGATCTACCCGATACAGGCCGTATTCCATAATCCGGAAACGCCGCCAAAGGCTGTCGCGACGACCCAATAACGATCCAAACCGACTCTGGCCAAACGAGCAAGCCGACGTTGTTGAGCCAACAGGAATATTAAAACCCTTCAATTATTTAACCCAGCCTGATCCTACTACTCTTACCCAATGGTCACGCTGATCGGAAGCTCGAACGCCAGAAGGGTTGCCCTCAGCGATGCGATCCTTTAATTTATTAGTTGGTTTTGTTGCCTTGCCTGGGGGCCATAGCGTAGAGGTCCTTATTAGTGAGCAGAAGGAAGATTGGTCCTTATCAAAAAAGGCTACGATCTCTTCCCGAATTACAATTTTGACGAATGTTGCTGGGTACAACTTGTGTCCCGATGCTACTCGCTGCCCACGTTTCTTTACCACGTTCTCTGTTCAGTTCTAAGAATCGTGTAGAAAGAATGTCCCCACGTAGGCACAGACTGCCAGCATACATTGACACAATGGTTAGAAACACATCTGGCGATATGGTCGCAAAGAAAAAAAAAACTATTTATTCTTGCAAACAGGCCACATAACAGCACTTTAGGTCTTTTGGTAGAGACAGAGACGGTCTTTGAGGAGGTCTTTTGGCATACGCAATTTGATATTTCCAGTAACGATTTTTTAATTAGGTTCAAGAATAATGGTTTAATAACTTACTACTGATTTACCTCGACACTTCATACCAAATTGGATGGATACGAGAAGAACTTCAAAATACCATTTTGTTAAGTGGTACTTACTGAAATAGATTCAGGTTTTATTAACTAACAAATTTTGTATTTGTTGGCGCATGCGTCAACATCAAACATCAGGACTTTTGGCTGTCAAAGTTAGCCTAGCGAAGCTTCATGGTCGAGGGTTGTGAGGACGATCTGAACACACTACGAGACGGCGTCCACACACCATACTTGTGGCAAATCGCTTAGCATCCAAGTGATTACTGTCATTGTAACGAGATCCTGTGGTTTTCTCTGTTCACGCTCACTACTCACATACATCATATAAGATGAGTTCTGACGAAGGCCCTCCTGCTCCTACATAGTAAATAAGGAATATTTGTTAGTTTTTAAGTTAGCTATGGACCATTCTAAGTTTTATAGGTTGATAAGTCCATTCTGAATACAATTTTAACAAAGTAACGGTCGAAAGATTTTGGATTAAAATCTGTTCTCTTTAGCATATATAAATCAATTCCATATCCCCTCCTCCTATCTCTAAATCTACAAATCCCTAATCCCCAAAAGGTCGGCACCGCACTCGCAACTCCTCTTTTGTTGGGTGTCCATGGGCGGCGCTGAATGCCTACCATAAGGTAGGTAGGCCCGTTTACCGACGCATCAAATAAAAAAAAATCGTAATTTTATGCAATACAATCTAAAATTTATTTTGAAATATACAACCATACGATGACAGTTTAAACAGAATTTCAAAAATGAATTTAATATATTTGTCTCGGCTGTTAACCAAATAGGTGTTTGTCAAAAGATCAGAATTGTAATGAGTCCGTGGTCTTTGGAAACAGTTTAGGCAGTTGCGTCGACAGTATCAGCACTAGCTGTGTCATCAGAAGAGCTACTGTCTTGCGCGGCATCCTGAGCGTCACTTGTTTCTGCTTGATCAACGGCAGCATCGTCTTGAGCGGCGTCCTGAGAATCACTAGTTTCTGCTTGATCAGCGGCAGCGTCGTCTTGCGCGGCGTCCTGAGAATCGCTTGTTTCTGTTTGATCAGCGGCAGCATTATCTTGAGCGGCGTCCTGAGAATCACTAGTTTCTGCTTGATCAGCAGCAGCGTCGTCTTGCGCGGCGTCCTGAGAATCGCTTGTTTCTGCTTGATCAGCGGCTGCATCATCTTGAGTGGCGTCCTGAGAATCGCTTGTTTCTGCTTGATCAGCGGCAGCATCATCTTGAGCGGCGTCCTGAGAATCACTAGTTTCTGCTTGATCAGCGGCAGCATCATCTTGAGCGGCGTCCTGAGAATCACTACTTTCTGCTTGATCAGCGGCAGCATCATCTTGAGTGGCGTCCTGAGAAGCGCTTGTTTCTGCTTGTTCAGCGGCAGCATCATCTTGAGCGGCGTCCTGAGAATCGCTTGTTTCTGCTTGATCAGCGGCAGCATCATCTTGAGCGGCGTCCTGAGAAGCGCTTGTTTCTGCTTGATCAGCGGAAGCATCATCTTGAGCAGCGTCCTGAGAATCGCTTGTTTCTGCTTGATCAGCGGCAGCATCGTCTTGCGCCGCATCCTGTAAATATAAAGTTAGCATTGAGAGCCAGTCGGTTAGTGTGACAACTAGTGACTAGCTGTTGTGCATCGTGTTGCAGTGGACATGCTAATGTTAAACATTTTATCAAAAACATAATTTTCTTCTGAATCTAGTTAAACCTCAATACCGATTCTTGGAATACTTACTTGCTTATTTTTGCCAACGCTTGTGTTGATATTGGCTGAAATTAAGCTGTCTCCGCCAACTTTCACACTGGCACCGACTTGTATACCTATAAGTATAGAAAATGAATTAAGTGTGCATCTAAACATTGTGCCTTTTAGCTTCTTGACTCATGTAATCATTATAATTTGTATCGGCGTAATCAATACACGAAATAAATGTCAGCACAATCTATTTTCTTTAACAATCAATCTTAACATGCTTAAATGGATGGCAAAACAGTGTTAAACAATATAAACAGCGAATGCACTTACCGTTGGATAATCCGTTTGCAACATCATCTGCAACTGCAATATAAAAATAAAAACATTTTAATTGTCATTCAAATAAACGGTATTACTGGTCGAGTGGTTCGCATTGGTTGCGTGCGTATATGGATGATAATTAATGATCAAACCTTCATCATGAGGGAAGAGTCCTTTGCTTAGCAGTCGGCACTATTTAGGCTGATAATGTAATGCCATCATGTGTATTTTTTTATAATTATTTGTTCTAATTGATTTAATTTATTTTGTTAAGAGTTTAGAGTGTCTTTGTCATTCATAATTGATTTTAACATTAATATTGTGATTCTTTTGGAATATAACTAGATTCATCCAAATTACCTTGTTTTGCTCCAGATACAAGGTCGTCTTTAGCTGCAATGTAAATAACATTTATTAATTAAATCAGTAAAAATCAGTAGTAGACTTAATCTGTCTCCGGGTTTGCGAATGCAAGCGCAGTAACATACCGCGGCCCAGGCCTGAAGCAGGAGAAGTATAGGAAGAGGAGGAAGGAAGTGCTGAAGAATTCATTTGAGGATTTTATCACCCCTCAAAATATATCTTAATTCTGTTGTTATTTACTAGATAAATATATATGTTTTATCTTGTTTTCGTTAATAATTACAGAGTTAGTTAATAGACCACCGTAGTATATTAGGTGTGTAGTGAAGGGCAGAGCTGGTTTTGATTTTCTATGGTGACGGGATTATATTGAGATATTACCAGATTCGTCCAAATTACCTTCTTTTGCTCCAGTTAAAAGGTTGTCGGTAGCTGCAATACAAATTGTAATCTTTAATTTTACTTGTCTTTCAAATCAACAGTGCTGGGGGTGTCGTAATGTGGTTATCACATTGTCCATTATCACATAGACATTTAGCTAAAAACGTGGTAGTTAAACTCTAGTTAATAGACCATCGTAGTATTATTAACTCTTTGTGTGGTCCGAAAATTGTTGATACAGGTCTGGGCGTCATGTGATTGTTTCATTGTATGTTTGTAAAAGCGCCCACTACATATGATTAAAGCGTAGTAAAGGGCAGAGTTGGTTTTGATTTTCTATGGTGACGGGATCATATTGAGATATTACCAAATTCGTCCAAATTACCTTTCTTTGCTCCAGTTAAAAGGTTGTCGGTAGCTGCAAAACAAATTGTAATATTTAAGTTTACTTGTCATTCAAATCAACAGTACTGGGGGTGGCCTAATGTGGTATTAAAACATTCGTAATTTCGACATTATCACATTGACATTTAGCTAAAAACGTGGTTAGTACTAATGAGACTTTTGCCACCAGATATGGATGTTCTTCTTACCTTTTACTGTTCCCTCTACGACGTTGCCTGCGGCTGCAATAAAAATTGCAATATTTCTTTTAAACTGTCATTCAAATAAACAGTACTGTAGGCCTACGATGACTTGTTAAAGCGTCAATCTTCCGGGCGAGAAAGAGGGATGGAGTCATGGTAGGCCCTCTCGTGTCCTAATCTGATACTTAGACATTCATAATATTGACATTACCACATTGTCAGTGTGCAAATACGTGGTTAGTCCTTGGTTAGTACTAATGAGACTTTTTCCACCAGCTCAGTATTTATTTATTTATAGACCTGTCTACAATTGTTACACTGTTTGTGTTAATGATAATGGTAAGAAAATACAAGCATAATGTGCAACATAGTGCGCTAGACACAGCACTGCAACAAAGGAAATATTTGATATAATAAAATAAAGCCATAATACAGGTGACATTTTGGCGCTCGACCACAACAATTTCTTCCAAAGTACCAACATCGAACCCTCACAAATAAATTTCTTTCCCCATGCAAATCGCAAGAGCTGATTGATCACTTTGCATGGAGAAGTAAAAATCTTTCTTGAGATTTCCACACGAGTCCCGTAAAAAAAGGTGCCCCACTTGAGCACTAGAATCGGCTCCCGGAATACGTCCCACGTTCAATATGTCACCCGGTATAAGTACAAAAATAATGCTTTCAATTATAATGAAAGTGAGGACAAAAAATTAACTTTAGGTATTGTGAACTTGAATTTCTGAATAGTTGTGGAATAAATTTCAATTGATTCTGGGGATGAAGGAGTTGGATCCTGATACAGCTTAGCGGGATGGGGGACGTCATAACCTAATAGGTCGTCGTATTTTAAAGTGGAAAACTAAGTCCATATTAATTATGTCTTCGTTTTTCTAGTGAGATCATGCTAAATTGTTCCAGACGTTTTGCATAACTTCGTAATTTTTCGCTTAATCTTACAGAATAGGCAAAATGGCACAAAAGCCTTTCCTGGATCTAATCTATATGACAATGTCTTGCATAGTGGGGACGCCACACAACCGCGCAGTATTCCAACACTTTACGAACGAGACAGTTAAAAAGATAGATCTTAGTTTTCGGTTTGCGAAAACATTTAGAGTGTATATAGCGATATGGATGTACTTACCTTTTACTGATCCCTCTACGACGCTGCCTGCGGCTGCAACATAAATTACAATATTTCATTCAAATGAACAGAACTGGGTTCCTAATCTGATACTTAAACATTCATAATATTGACATTATCACATTGTCATTTTGCAAAAAGCGTGCTTAGTAAGTATAATAATAAGACTTTTGCACCAAATATGGATGTTCTTACCTTTTAATGTTCCGTCTAAAATGTTGCCTGTGGCTGCAATATAAATTACAATATTTCATTTATATTGTCATTATAATCAACATTACCGTGACACTAGTCTGTCTTCAACACGATCACATTGTGTTTTAGCTAAACCTGGTTGATCCCAGTGTGGTGTGTACCAACTGATATGGATTCCATATTTTATTAAGACACCATTAACACACGGTGAATGAGAAGATCCTAACGGAACACATACTTGGAATTAACTTACCATCAACCTTTTTTGTGGTATAGGCAGGCAACGAGCAATCAAATTACCGGAATGTGAGAGCAATATTATACTGACACCTGCACACCAGTGCAGTTGCAACTATGTTTGCTATTGGGGGAGTTGGAGTGGACTTCCAGCACCCTCGCTCATTGATGAAATACAAGAGTTGTGTTCAATACTCTATTCTCCTCCAATTAACTGCTGAGCCAAGGTGACCAGCTGCATGCTACTAGTGTCTATTGTTAACACTAAACAAGCTGTAGGCCCGGTGTCGTAATGAATATTGAATACTCACCTTCAAAGAGACCGCCGAAGAGACCCTAGGAGGACAGAAATAATAACAATATATAAATTATGTAACTATGTTATTACAAATAGTTAAAATTATTAATTTATTTACACCCTTACAGGCACTTTAGACCGTCAAACACACAGCTTAAAGGTAAGAAGTTTCAGTCTGTCGGTCAGTCCTCTTCGTGGAACTATTTGCTCCTGATATAAAATAAAAATATTCAACAGCGTTTATCAAAATGGAAGAAGGATTGCTGGTGACATAAAGACAGGCCAATGGCTACAACAAAAGTTGGTATACTGAAGTGCAGTCACGTAGATCTTATCACCCTTAGTCGTTTGAGCTGTCGCAGCAGTCCATAAGTCCATAGACTCACTTATTCTTATAAACATTATTGGAAAGTTAAATAACTTACACGCTTCTTTCTACCAATCGTTGTCTTGATATTAGCGTCAAGCAATTTACCTCCGCCAACTATAAGACTACCGTCGAAATCAATCAGTCCTGTAAGAAACCAAAATTCGTTAATATATTTATGTTCCATGTTGCTCTCTCAGTTTTGGTGGCATTTCATTATAATTTACGGCATATTCCTTATAAGCACCTACCGCTTAAGGCATCGTCTATCGCAGCCACTACTGTTTTCAGACTGTCACCTACGCTAGGCTGAATACTGCTGGCTTCTTCTTCCGTCGCCTGTAACACACAAATGATGTATAGGTACTTAAAATGAAGAGAGTTCAAAATAATAAATTACACATAATTGTAGTCCATCTACCGCGGCTTTGTTTGCGTAAAGTCGACACGTCTTCGGTAAGACCTCCTTGTTTTACATACAAACAACTTTAAGACAAGAGAGTACAGCAATAATCTTTTTTAATAATAAATTAGCTCTTCCTCCTTCTTGCATTGTTTTTGTCACTGCTGAGGGTAATGATTACACTAAAGCACCACTTTCTCTCGTGGGACCTTTAATATAATACTATCGTTCGTGATGTGGATGACAGTATGGATAGTAGAATCTATATAAGTGCGGATCTGATTGGAAAAACGTACGTGCGCTCTGGCCACAAGGTCTTTTCTCGGTTTCAATAAGCCTGCTCTCCAGGTGCTGTTGATCTTTCTTTGCAATGTGCGTGTATCGTGAGGATAATTTTAAGTTCACGTAGTAACTACTGTTACGGTGGTCTAAGAAACTGTCCAAGGAGCGTCTACATCCAGGATATCGTTTCGGCGCCAATGCGTTTGCGATCTGCTGGCTTTAGGGATCATGCCCATTCGCCACAAGAAAAGGTTTTGGTTTTATCAGAGATATTGCAATCTCTTCATATTTTGCCAAACTAATTCACTGGAACCTATATAAATAAACATTCCAAAAAGTTTAAGTCAAAAGCGCCTGGGAGTTTTAACTTCTAGGAACAGGCCACGGCCTTAATTTTGAACCAGTTTATGGAAAACCTCATAAACTCATTCGAATTCTCCATCTGGTCTAGGAGTGTAGTCATCCCAGACTCATTTGCTGCTAACAGGGTTGCGTTATCAAAAATTGGTAAATTTTATGTAAGCAACTATAATACTTCCTTCCCAATATTCGTAGGTTATAAATAAAATGGGCGACCAACTGCAACCTCGGCAACGCCTTAATAAAGTTTAAAGGCTTTAGAAATGTTTTTATCGACTCTTATGACTCCTTGGTTTGAAAACTCTTTTTCTTGGAAGTCACAAAATTGAGTTGCTAATCAAGCGTAATTATGAAATTTCAAGAATTTCGAGTTCCTAGTGTTGTAGAAATAAATGAATGAACGTGTCTCCGTTCACCGTCTTTTGCTTCTTCCGCGTAGAGCTACAGGTCTCTTTCAAGTAGGACCTCGGAGTTTTACACTCAAAGCATCCAAACAATAATAAAATAATCAGGACCTAAAATAATTTCCATCGTCAAATGACATCATTAAACTAGCTTGGTGGGACTATGATATCGTATTATCATATATTCTACATACAATTACCACATTTCGTGATATTATAAAATTAGTTCATTACTAAAAAATAATTTATATAGGAACGAGGCGAATAAATACCAGGACTGTGTATAAAGTTTTTGTGGCCAGAAAACAAGTTGGCATTCTGAAGTGCAGTTACGCATTACTTATCACCCTTAGTGGGAGGAGCAGTCGCAGAGGCGTAAGTGCATCGACTTACTCCTCAATTTAAATACAAGGAAGTACTTACACGCTTCTTTCTGCCAATCGTTGTTTTGATATTGGCGTCAAGCAGGCTACCTCCGCCAACTTGAAGATTACCATCAAGACCAAACAGTCCTGTAAGAAACGAAAATGCGTTAAGCATTATTTAGAGGTGAACCTAAAACAGGTTTACTCAGATTCCATGTAACCGAGTCGGCGCCATGTGCAATGTGCTCTTACCGTCTAATAAACCTCCCAATTCGCCCAGTAAATTACTTAGTCCAACGCGCTGGGGGCTGCTGACTGCTTCTTGCGCTGAAGCTAGTGTCGCCTGTGACAAACAAATCAAACATCACATTAATGAAGGTGTGCAAAATTATAAATGGTCCACTGTCTTGGTTTCTTCCGCGTAGAACTTAGAAGGTCTCTTTCAAGTAGGACCTCGGAGTTTTACACACAAAGCACCCAAACAACAAATTCAGTGGTTCCGTTTGGTGAAACAGGTATTGACGGAAATCGACGTAGTTAGAACATAACTGGAGAGGAATAAACATCAGTCGAGAATAAAATACTAAAATGTGGAGTACTTACCACAGCGACGATCAATAACACGGCGGCTTTCATGTTGGAGAGGTTGGAGACTGATGATCTTAGTCGGAACAAGATTCTTGCGACTCGTACCGCTGTTCACTTGGAGCAGCCTTTTATATGGACCAACTCGACGTTTGCATTACTAGTTGCAACTGTGCAAATACAATAATTTACTGAAAATGTAATTGCATGTTGACATTTTTGTACAATTGTTGATACAGGGGTAGGTATCTGCTATCGAATGAATTTCCGTATATCACTTTCAAGGATTCTTTATCGTGGCAGATGTATAACACTCTACTGGGTCATGTAAATCATGCAGAGTGTCTCTTTTGGATTGGATCAAGAGATGTATTCATGTAGTGTAATTTGTACATGCGGGTGTCCATGGGCGGCGCGCCGCCCTTGGACACCCGTAACGGAGGAGTTTTACGAGTGCGCTGCCGACCTTTTAGGGATAAGGGACGACATAACGCGAGTATAAAAAACAGCTGAGATTAGTCTCCCGAAAGCGTCTATTTGGAAACCCCATTGCAGTTTATTGTCTAACTTGATAGCTAGGAACACTGTCTCGTGGACAAATTTATAGTTTTGCCCATTAAGAGTTATGTCACAATCATTACTGTGTACGTTTGGCAAGCTAAATTACATTTAGTTTTTTTCATTTAGCGGTATTGATAGTGAACCAGTTATGAACTTGACGAATGGTGCTGTTTACTTTATCAAAATTATTATGACAGCACGTCGACCTATTCTTAAAATTAATGATGTATCATCTGCAAATAGCGCTATTCTTGCTTAAGTTTAAAATAGAAATCGTAAGTAATTAACATACACTAAACAGAGAAACGGACCTAATATTGAACCCTGCTGAACTCCCATTCTTATCTCAGAGTCCTGTGGGTAAGAACCATCTACATGAACCCTCTAAATATGATTTTAATAGATCGTACTTGCATACGAAAGACTATTTTCACATATCCGTTGCATATTTTCTTATGCCATGGTAAGCAAGAACCTTGGCTCACGTGACTCTGGAAATTGTTAAAAAGTCTTTCAAAAGTCAAAATCATTTATTTTAATTAGACCCATACAGGCACATTTGAACGTCAAACAAAATTTTAAAGATATAAAGTCTCAGTGTGTCGGTCAGTCCTCTTAGTGAAGCTATTCGCTTGTTACAAAGTGTAGATTCCGATGAAGAAGAACGAGCAAGAAACTCCATGGTTACTCTAAATCAGTGTCACATAAAGATTCTTTGATAAATTATTTAGTTGGTTTGTTTGTTTGTTGGTTGGTTGGTTGGTGAGAACAGTGTAACGAGTGTATATAGAGAAACATTAAAAGAAAATAACCTTAACGACAATAGACAGTCCGGAGTTGACTAGTCCCAATTGACGGCGCCCGTTCACGAACGTGACACGTACACCAGCATCGCCCAACTTAACCATAATATAGGGAATCGAACGATCCAGTGACCGTGCCACCGCCAATGTGACCTTTGAGTGAGCATGACTCCAAGCTGACATTAGGACTGACATTCCGCTAGTCTAACTAATTTATTGAAATGGGTTACAGGGCACTCACATTGACAAATTTATCAAGTTTAACAATAAAAATGGCATGGTTACAAATTTACAAAATCTAAGAAGTTCCGTTTAAGCAAAGGTCCACTGGAACATTATTTATTTTCGTGTATGTATATTGTCCTGTGGAGCAGGAACAGCCCGTCTCCAAGCATCCTTATCCTCAATATAATCACTCAGTTTGTAATATGATTTTTGACACAGTTTTCTTTACACATAATTTAAAATTTCTTACATTTAATTGTAATATTTCGCCTGGGATTTTGTTATAACACTTGACGCTGAATCCCATGAACTTGTGGAACTTTGCCAATCTAAATAATGGCTGACATAATCTATCTCTATGTCTAGTTTGATAATTATGTCTGTCTGATACCTTATCAAATAATATTAAGTGTTTCCTAACAAACATTATATTTTCATAAATAAACTGACCGGGCACAGTCATAATATTGGTCTCTTTAAACTTTTCTCTAAGAAATTCGCGAAGCCTTAGGTTGTAGATTGCTCTGATTGCACGCTTTTGGAAGACAAAGATAGACTAAATGTCAACAGCCTGTCCCCACAACAAGATACCACACGACATAATGTAATGTAAAAAGTAACTGAAGTACACCAGTCTTGCAGTGCCCACATCTGTTAGCTGTCAGAACTTCCAGACATCAAATGCAGCAGAACTCAGCCGTCCTGCCAGAGATGTGATATGGGGCCCCCATTGTAGTTTGTCATCTATGGTTATACCCAGATAAGTAGTCTGTTTTACAAATTCCAATTTCTTGCCGTTTAATACTATGTCACATTCACTACTTTTAACATTTTGCAAACTGAATCGTATACACTTTGTCTCTTTGTCGTTTAGGAATAAATTATTAACTGTAAACCAGTTATAACCTTAACCTTCGTAATATCATTATTTACGTCGTCATAATTATCTGTCCGTCTATTTATTTTAAAAATCAACGATGTGTCATCAGCAAATAATACCATTCCCGGTTTACGTTGAAATAAATGAGGTAAGTCATTTATGTACACTAAAAACAGGAAAGGACCTAATATCGAACCCTGTGGTACGCCCATAGATATGCTAGCACCCTGGGAGTTCACTTTATTTACCTGCACTTTGAGCTGCCTACCATGGAGGTATTATTTTATTAAAATTGTTGAAGCCTCTCGAATACCACAGTGTTCCAATTTCAGCAACAGTGTCTCGTGTTCGACGCAAACAAAAGCCTTAGACAGAAGAAAATCAATAGCGTTGTGCAACTCCTCCCACGAGGCAAAAACATCCTTAATTAGAGTTACACCGGCGTCAGTTGTGCATCGACCCTTGGTGAACCCATATTGTTGGTCATGAAAGATGGAATTCACGTTAAACTGTCGTAGCATCTGAGAAAGCATCAGCTTTTCAAACACCTTACTAAGCACTGGTAAAATTGATACCGGCCTATAATTATTGGGATCTGGATCATTATTGGGAAAAATAATTCCAATTTTAGTAATTTGGATGAAATGCCCTGAATATTTTTACTTAAGAGTGTAAAATTTCCTGGTTTGTTTTTCTTATATAATATGCTGCGAGAAGAAACCTTTTGATAATTTGTAGTATGAATATTCATCAAGTTATCTTCTGTAGTCTCAAATTTATTTTGTCCCACATTATTTTGTCCCTAAATGTTGAGTCTCCGTCGTACTATTATATGTACAATCAATCACTACATTATTAAAATATCGAAATAATATAGTTTCGTCACTTAAAATACATCCTAAGTTATTATTATTTGCTAGAAGGCTAGCAAGTAAAACTTTACATTTTCTAGGAATTAACAAAGATTTCCTAGTCAATTTAAAACCAGTAATAAATTTGTTAGTGTCAAAAAACCACAGGACAGTGTATTTTCTATTCCGTGCAAAAAACAATAAATTGTCACTATGACATGTGAAATTGAATATCATATGATTTATGATATGTATTCGTTAATATTTTTTTTTTTTATGGGAAAGGGCGGCAAACTAGCATACGGTTGACCTGATAGTAAGCAATCGGCGCCGCCAATTGACACCCGCAACACCAACAACAACATGACAAAAGAGTTACTAGTATTTTGCCGGCCTTTTGGGGTTTCGGATATTTAAGGATTAGGAAGATGGGACGGGTCGTCTATGTTGTAACATCACTAATTATTTATTAGTAAGTCACTGTACCTTCCATAATTGGCTATTATAAATATCATGGTCAACTGTGGACCATTGACAATGTAACAGTGGTGCAGTGAGCTGCCCGACTGTGTACTAAGATCCAAGTCTTTTATTCATATTACAGACTACGGCTGCTAAAACCGGACCATGCCGGACGCTAGAGGTCGCCACCAACAACTTATACTCCCCCAGTTCGATAATTCGAATGTGATGATAGCTCTGATTGTTGACCCTTTTCGATTTAGGGAGAAAGTTTAATTAATATCACCAGGCACACACTGCCTATAGTAATTACGTATATAGCTTAACAATAATATCATCGACGGACACTGATTATGATAATATTGTTAAGAGTAATGAAGAATAATACCTAAAAATATAGATAATAATGATACAAACCATAGGTTTAAATAAAATGATACGTAATTGTATGCAACAAGAGCCGAATTTATTTTCAATTAGACAAACAGCCAGGTTATGAGCGTAAAAACTAAATTTCAAAAATGTATTGATGAAATTATAATATTTATCTCTATTGTTACTCTGATAGGAGTTTGTCGAAGTATCAAAATAGCAATGAGTCCGTAGTCTTAAGAAACAGTTTAGGCAGTTGCGTCGACGGTATCAGCACTGGCTGCGTCATTAGAAGAGCTACTGTCTTCCGCGGCATCCTGAGCGTTGCTTTCTTCCGCAGCAGCATCATCTTGAACGGCATCTTGAGAATCGCTTGTTTGTGCTGTATCAGCGGCTGCATCGTCTTGCGTGGCATCCTGAGCGTCGCTCGTTTCTGCTTGATCAGCAGCAGCATCGTCTTGTGCCGCATCCTGTAAAAATAAAGTTAGCATTGAGAGCCGGTCGATTAGTCCAACAACTAGTGACTAGCTGTTGTGTATAGTGTTGTAGTGGACATGCTAATGTTAGACGTTTTATCAAAAACTTGTTTTTCTTCTGAATCTAGTTAAACCTCAATACCGATTCTTAGAATACTTACTTGCTTATTTTTGTCAACGCTTGTGTTGATATTGGCTGAAATTAAGCTGTCTCCGCCAACTTTCACACTGGCACCAACTTGTATACCTATAAGTATAGAAAATGAATTAGATGTGCATCTAAACATTGTGCCTTTTGGCTTCTTGACTCATGTAATCATTATAATTTGTATCGGCGTAATCAATACACGAAACAAATGTCAGCGCATCTATTTTCTTTAACAATCGATCTTAACATGCTTAAATGGATGGCAAAACAGTGTTAAACAATATAAACAGCGAATGCACTTACCGTTGGATAATCCGTTTGCAACATCATCTGCAACTGCAATATAAAAATAAAAACATTTTAATTGTCATTCAAATAAACGGTACTACTGGTCGAGTGGTTCGCATTGGTTGCATGCGTATATGCGTGATAATTAATGATCAAACCTTCATCATGAGGGAAGAGTCCTTTGCTTAGCAGTTGGCACCATTTAGGCTGATAATGTAATGCCATAATGTGTATTTTTTTATAATTATTTGTTCAAATTGATTTCATTTTGTTTTCTTAAGAGTGTCTTTGTCATAGTGGACTTTAACATTAATATTGTGATTCTTTTGGAATATTACTAGATTCGTCCAAATTACCTTGTTTTGCTCCAGATACAAGGTCGTCTTTAGCTGCAATGTAAATAATATTATTTAATTAAATCAGTAGTAGTCTTAATTTGTCTCCGGGTTTGCGTATGCAAGCGCAGTAACATACCGCGGCCCAGGCCTGAAGCAGGAGAAGGATCGGAGGAGGAGGAAGGAAGTGCTAAAGAATTCATTTGAGGATTTTATCACCCCTCAAAATATATCTTAAGTCCCTTGTTATTGACTAGATAAATATATATGTTTTATCTTGTTTTCGTTATTAATTACAGAGTTAGTTAATAGACCACCGTAGTATATTAGGTGTGTAGTGAAGGGCAGAGTTTGTTTTGATTTTCTATGGTGACGGGATTATATTGAGATATTACCAGATTCGTCCAAATTACCTTCTTTTGCTCCAGTTAAAAGGTTGTCGGTAGCTGCAATACAAATTGTAATCTTTAATTTTACTTAACATTCAAATCAACAGTGCTGGGGGTGTCCTAATGTGGTTATCACATTGTCCATTATCACATTGACATTTAGCTAAAAACGTGGTAGTTAAACTCTAGTTAATAGACCATCGTAGTATTATTAACTCTTTGTGTGGTCCGAAAATTGTTGATACAGGTCTTAGTGTCATGTGATTGTTTCATTGTATGTTTGTAAAAGCGCCCACTACATAGGATTAAAGCGTAGTAAAGGGCAGAGTTTGTTTTGCTTTTCTATGGTGACGGGATTATATTGAGATATTACCAGATTCGTCCAAATTACCTTTTTTTGCTCCAGTTAAAAGGTTGTCAGTAGCTGCAAAACAAATTGTAATATTTAAGTTTACTTGTCATTCAAATCAACAGTACTGGGGGTATCCTAATGTGGTATTAAAACATTCGTAATTTCGACATTATCACATTGACATTTAGCTAAAAACGTGGTTAGTACTAACGAGACTTTTGCCACCAGATATGGATGTTCTTCTTACCTTTTACTGTTCCCTCTACGACGTTGCCTGCGGCTGCAATAAAAATTGCAATATTTCTTTTAAACTGTCATTCAAATAAACAGTACTGTAGGCCTACGATGACTTGTTAAAGCGTCAATCTTCCGGGCGAGAAAGAGGGATGGAGTCATAGTAGGCCCTCTGGTGTCCTAATCTGATACTTAAACATTCATAATAGTGACATTACCACATTGTCAGTTTGCAACTACGTGGTTAGTCCGTGGTTAGTACTAATGAGACTTTTTCCACCAGCTAAGTATTTATTTATTTATAGACCTGTCTACAATTGCTACACTGTTTATGTTAATGATACTGGTAAAAAATACAAGCATAGTGCGCTAGACACAACACAGCAACAAAGGAAATATTTGATATAATAAAATAAAGCCATAATACAGGTGACATTTTGAACTAGGTACAAGGAGCCGATTTTGGCCCTCGACCACAACAATTTCTTCCAAAATACCAACATCGAACCCTCACAAATAAATTTCTTTCCCCATGCAAATCGCAAGAGCTGATTGATCATTTTGCATGGAGAAGTAAAAATCTTTCTTGAGATTTCCACACGAGTCCCGTAAAAAAGGTGATCCACTTGAGCACTAGAATCGGCTCCCGGAATACGTCCCTCGTTCAATATGTCACCCTGTATAAGTACAGAAATAATGCTTTCAATTAAAATGAAAGTGAGGACAAAAAATTAACTTTAGGTATTGTGAACTTGAATTTCTGAATAGTTGTGGAATAAATTTCAATTGATTCTGGGGATGAAGGAGTTGGATCCTGATACAGCTTAGCGGGATGGGGGACGTCATAACCTAATAGGTCGTCGTATTTTAAAGTGGAAAACTAAGTCCATATTAATTTATCTTCGTTTTTCTAGTGAGATCATGCTAAATTGTTCCAGACGTTTTGCATAACTTCGTAATTTTTCGCTTAATCATACAGAATAGGCAAAATGGCACAAAAGCCTTTACTGGATCCTCTCTAATCTATATGACAATGTGTTGCATAGTGGGGACGCCACACAACCGCGCAGTATTCCAACACTTTACGAACGAGACAGTTAAAAAGATAGATCTTAGTTTTCGGTTTGCGAAAACATTTAGAGTGTATATAGCGATATGGATGTACTTACCTTTTACTGATCCCTCTACGACGCTGCCTGCGGCTGCAACATAAATTACAATATTCCATTCAAATGAACAGAACTGGGTTCCTAATCTGATACTTAAACATTCATAATATTGACATTATCACATTGTCATTTTGCAAAAAGCGTGCTTAGTAAGTATAATAATAAGACTTTTGCACCAAATATGGATGTTCTTACCTTTTAATGTTCCGTCTAAAATGTTGCCTGTGGCTGCAATATAAATTACAATATTTCATTTGTATTGTCATTATAATCAACATTACCGTGACACTGGTCTGTCTTCAACACGATCACATTGCGTTTTAGCTAAACCTGGTTGATCCCAGTTTGGTGTGAACCAATTGATATGGATTCCATATTTTATTAAGACACCATTAACACACGGTGAATGAGAAGATCCTAACGGAACACATACTTGGAATTAACTTACCATCAACCTTTTTTGTGGTATAAGCAGGCAACGAGCAATCAAATTACCGGAATGTGAGAGCAATATTATACTGACACCCGCACACCAGTGCAGTTGCAACTATGTTGTCTGCTATTGGGGGAGTTGGAGTGGACTTCCAGCACCCTCGCTCATTGATGAAATACAAGAGTTGTGTTCAATACTCTATTCTCCTCCAATTAACTGCTGAGCCAAGGTGACCAGCTGCATGCTACTAGTGTCTACTGTTAACACTAAACAAGCTGTAGGCCCGGTGTCGTAATGAATATTGAATACTCACCTCCTAAGAGACCACCCAAGAGACCCTAGGAGGACAGAAATAATAACAATATATAAATTATGTAAGTATGTTATTTCAAATAGTTAAAATCATTAAGTGTCAGTCTGTCCGTCAGTCCTCTTTATGAAACTATTTGCTCGTTCCAAAGTGTAGATTCCAAATGGATAAATGGAATGAAATTACTCTTTTTAAATCATTTTCATATACAGATTCTTTTTTTACTTTATTGAGATGGTTCGAATAAGTGAGAATTATATTGCTGTCCGTTTATCTCACAGAAGAATGACTAGGCTAACTTGTCAAAGTTAAGGTAAGGTTTAAAACATGATATAAAATAAATGTATTCAAGAGCGTTTATCAAAATGGAAGAAGGATTGATTGTAAAACAAAGACAGGCCAATGGCTATAACACAAGTAAGTGCATCGACTTACTCCTCAATTTAAATACAAGGAAGTACTTACACGCTTCTTTCTGCCAATCGTTGTTTTGATATTGGCGTCAAGCAGGCTACCTCCGCCAACTTTAAGATTACCATCAAGACCTAACAGTCCTGTAAGAAACGAAAATGCGTTAAGCATTATTTAGAGGTGAACCAAAAACAGGTTTACTCAAATCCCATGTTACCGAGTCGGCGCCATGTGCAATGTGCTCTTACCGTCTAATAAACCTCCCAATTCGCCCAGTAAATTACTTAGTCCAACGCGCTGGGTGCTGCTGACTGCTTCTTGCGCTGAAGCTAGTGTCGCCTGTGACAAACAAATCAAACATCACATTAATAAAGGTGTTAAAAATTATAAATGAATGTGTCTCCGTTTACCGTCTTTGGCTTCTTCCGCGTAGAACTACTACCTACTTAGTTCTACGCGGAAGAAGCCAAAGCTTTAGGTCTCTTTCAAGTAGGACCTCGTAGTTTTACACATGTAGTTGTACAATTTGTTGTTTGGATAAAACATCCAAACAACAAATTCAGTGGTTCCGTTTGGTGAAACAGGTATTGACGGAAATCGACGTAGTTAGAACATAACGGGAGAGAAATAAACATCAGTCGAGAATAAGATACTAAAATGTGGAGGTACTTACCACAGCGACGATCAATAATACGGCGGCTTTCATGTTGTAGAGGTTGGAGACTGATGATCTTAGTCGGAACAAGATTCTTGCGACTCGTACCGCTGTTCACTTGGAGCAGCCTTTTATATGGACCAACTCGACGTTTGCATTACTAGTTGCAACTGTGCAAATACAATAATTTACTGAAAATGTAATTGCATGTTGACATTTTTGTACAATTATTGATTCAGGGGTAGGTATCTGCTATCGAATGAATTTCCGTATATCACTTTCAAGGATTCTTTATCGTGGCAGATGTATAACACTCTACTGGGTTATGTAAATCATGCAGAGTGGGTCTTTTGGATTGGATCAAGAGATGTATTCATGTAGTCTAATTTGTACTTCGTCGGACTAATCGCCACATTAAATAATTTTTAAGCCAACAGGTTGGTTTTGTCAAAGATAAAGGAACGCGGGAACATATATTGATAAACGTTCGCCAAACTTTCGAAAAAAGTCGGGAATTTAACAACCACCTGATCTTGTAACATTAGTCGAGTCTTTACGTAGAACATCGTATTTTTGTTAGGAGAGTCATTGAGTACTCCAACATGTTTTAAACGAAAAAGGTTTGAGCCAGGATTGCATCCTGTTCCCTGCATTTTCCATAGCACCTGCAAAGTTACTTGTACCAACATCGTCGACCACTACATTTACCTCTGCTCTCAAATCTGCAACGATGGCTGCTGTATTTCCAAGAATTATAGACGCGTCGGGATGGCCAAATATGCTATGTTTGTTTAAACGAAGGAAGAAGAGAGGTATCGGTAATCAAACCAAGGTCAGGTTGACATCCAGTCTATCCAGATATGTAATCCGCTCGTCGACCATATGCCAACAACACAGCATTCTATCCGGGGGCGACATCCTGGGAAAACTGATTGTCGTTGGAATGACCGAAGCCATGCGATCGCGTGGTCGTCCACCAACCGGATGGACCGATCAAATGAAAGATTCATCATCCTCTGAATTCTTCACAAAAGTATATACGGTCGAGTTTGATAATTTTAGTTACTTCTGCCTATGCCGGAAGAAGACTCAGACTCTTACGGATTAAAAACTCCCGGTTCCTTCTCCTGCTCTGGGCCGGGGTCCCGCAGTTCTGGCTGATGTTCAGCCAGAACTGCGGGATATAGGGTCCCGTCTGTAGTTGTCTATTGGCCCTTTGAGGAGCGCGCGGAATCCAGCCTATATCTGCCTTTAGTATTAATATTATTTGCTTCTTTTTTCAGACAATCGTATTTTTTCCTCACGTGCATAATATTTTCATATATAAACTGACAAGGTACCGTTAGGATATTTATCGATTTATATAGTTCTCTCAGAGATCGGAGAACTCAACCGTCCTGCCAGAGATGTGATATGGGGCCCCCATTGTAGTTTGTAATCTATGGTTATACCCAGATAAGTAGTCTGTTTTACAAATTCCAATTTCTTGCCGTTCAATAATATGTCACATTCACTACTTTTAACATTTGGCAAACTGAATCGTATACACTTTGTCTTTTTGTCGTTTATGAATAAATTATTAACTGTAAACCAGTTATAACCTTAACCTTCGTAATAGCATTATTTACGTCGTCATAATTATCTGTCCGTCTATTTATTTAAAAAATCAACGATGTGTCATCAGCAAATAATACCATTCCCGGTTTACGTTGAAATAAATGAGGTAAGTCATTTATGTACACTAAAAACAGGAAAGGACCTAATATCGAACCCTGTGGTACGCCCACAGATATGCTAGCACCCTGGGAGTTCACTTTATTTACCTGCACTTTGAGCTGCCTACCCTGGAGGTATGATTTTATTAAATTGGTTGAAGCCTCTCGAATATCACAGTGTTCCAACTTCAGCAACAGTGTCTCGTGTTCGACGCAATCAAAAGCCTTAGACAGGTCACAAAAAAATCCAATAGCGTTGTGCAACTCCTCCCACGAGGCAAAAACATGCTTAATTAGAGTCACACCGGCGTCAGTTGTGCATCGACCCTTGGTGAACCCATATTGTTGGTCATGAAAGATGGAATTCACGTTAAGGTGTCGTAGCATCTGAGAAAGCATCAGCTTTTCAAACACCTTACTAAGCACTGGTAAAATTGATACCGGCCTATAATTATTGGGATCTGGATCATTATTGTGAAAAATAATTCCAATTTTAGTAATTTGGATGAAATGCCCTGAATATTTTGACTAAGGAGTGTAAATTTTCCTGGTTTGTTTTTGTTATATAATATGCTGCGAGAAGAAACTTTTTGATAATTTGTAGTATGAATATTCATTAAGTTATCTTCTGTTGTCTCAAAATTCATTTTAAAAAATTATCTGGAGTGCTACCCACATTATTTTGTCCCTAAATGTTGAGTCTCCGTCGTACTATTATATGTACAATCAATCACTACATTATTAGAATATCTAAATAATATAGTTTCGTCACTTAAAATACATCCTAAGTTATTATTATTTGCTAGAAGGCTAGCAAGTAAAACTTTACATTTTCTAGGAATTAACAAAGATTTCCTTGTCAATTTTAAAACCAGTAATAAATTAGTTAGTGTCAAAAATAATAAATTGTCACTATGACATGTGAAATTGAATATCATATCATTTATGCTATGTATTCGTTAATATTTAATTTTTTTATGGGATAGGGCGGCAAACTGGCACCCGCAACACCAACAACAACATGACAAAAGAGTTACTAGTATTTTGCCGGCCTTTTGGGGTTTCGGATATTTAAGGATTAGGAAGAGGGGACGGGTCGTCTATGTTGTAACAACACTAATTATTTATTAGTAAGTCACTGTACCTTCCATAATTGGCTATTATAAATATCATGGTCAACATCCTGTGGACCATTGACAATGTAACAGTGGTGCAGTGAGCTGCCCGACTGTGTACTAAGATCCAGGTCTTTTATTCATATTACAGACTACGGCTGCTAAAACCGGACCATGCCGGACGCTAGAGGTCGCCACCAACAACTTATACTCCCCCAGTTCTATAATTCGAATGTGATGATAGCTCTGATTGTTGACCCTTTTCGATTTAGGGAGAAAGTTTAATTAATATCACCAGGCACACACTGCCTATAGTAATTACGTATATAGCTTAACAATAATATCATCGACGGACACTGATTATGATAATATTGGTAAGACTTATGAAGAATAATACCTAAAAATAAAGATACTAATGATACAAGCCATGGGTTTCGATCTAAGTAGGTTTTATAAATAAAATGATACGTAATTGTATGCAACAAGAGCCGAATTTATTTTCAAGTAGACAAACAGCCAGGTCATGAGCGTAAAAACTAAATTTCAAAAATGTTTTGATGAAATTATAATATTTATCTCTATTGTTACCCTAATAGCAGTTTGTCGAAGTATCAAAATAGCAATGAGTCCGTAGTCTTTAGAAACAGTTTAGGCAGTTGCGTCGACGGTATCAGCACTGGCTGCGTCATTAGAAGAGCTACTGTCTTCCGCGGCATCCTGAGCGTTGCTTTCTTCCGCGGCAGCATCATTTTGAACGGCATCTTGAGAATCGCTTGTTTGTGCTGTATCAGCGGCTGCATCGTCTTGCGTGGCATCCTGAGCGTCGCTCGTTTCTGCTTGATCAGCAGCAGCATCGTCTTGTGCCGCTTCCTGTAAATATAAGGTTTGCATTGATAGTCGATCGGTTATCAAAAAAATTATATTCTTCTGAATCTAGTTAAAACTCAATACCGATTCTTGGAATACTTACTTGCTTATTTTTGCCAACGCTTGTGTTGATATTGGCTGAAATTAAGCTGTCTCCGCCAACTTTCACACTGGCACCGACTTGTATACCTACAAGTATAGAAAACGAATTAGGTGTGCATCTAAACATTGTGCCTTTTGGCTTCTTGGCTCGTGTAATCATTATAATTTGTATAAGCGTAATCAATACTCGAAATAAATGTCAGCACATCTATTTTCTTTAACAATCAATCTTAACATGCCTAAATGGATGGCAAAACAGTGTTAAACACATAAACAGCGAATGCACTTACCGTTGGATAATCCGTTTGCAACATCATCTGCAACTGCAATATAAAAATAAAAACATTTAATTGTCATTCAAATAAACGGTACTACTGGTCGAGTGATTCGCATTGGTTGCGTGCGTATATGCATGATAATTAATGATCAAACCTTCATCATGAGGGAAGAGTCCTTTGCTTAGCAGTCGGCACTATTTAGGCTGATAATGTAATGCCAGTATGTGTATGTTTTATAATTATTTGTTCTAATTGATTTAATTTATTTTCTTAAGAGTTTAGAGTGTCTTTGTCATTCATAGTTGATTTTAACATTAATATTGTGATTCTTTTGGAATATTACTAGATTCGTCCAAATTACCTTGTTTTGCTCCAGATACAAGGTCGTCTTTAGCTGCAATGTAAATAATATTTATTAATTAAATCAGTAAAAATCAGTAGTAGTCTTAATCTGTCTCCGGGTTTGCGAATGCAAGCGCAGTAACATACCGCGGCCCAGGCCTGAAGCAGGAGAAGGATCGGAGGAGGAGGAAGGAAGTGCTGAAGAATTCATTTGAGGATTTTATCACCCCTTAAAATTTATCTTAATTCTGTTGTTATTGACTAGATAAATATATATGTTTTATCTTGTTTTCGTTAATAATTACAGAGTTAGTTAATAGACCACCGTAGTATATTAGGTGTGTAGTGAAGGGCAGAGTTGGTTTTGCTTTTCTATGGTGACGGGATCATATTGAGATATTACCAGATTCGTCCAAATTACCTTCTTTTGCTCCAGTTAAAAGGTTGTCGGTAGCTGCAAAACAAATTGTAATCTTTAATTTTACTTGTCATTCAAATCAACAGTGCTGGGGGTATCCTAATGTGGTTATCACATTGTCCATTATCACATTGACATTTAGCTAAAAACGTGGTAGTTAAACTCTAGTTAATAGACCATCGTAGTATTATTAGCAGTATTCGTTTGCAATAATGACCGCACGAAGGGCAACTCTTTGTGTGGTCCGAAAATTGTTGATACAGGTCTGGGCGTCATGTGATTGTTCCATTGTATGTTTGTAAAAGCGCCCACTACATAGGATTAAAGCGTAGTAAAGGGCAGAGTTGGTTTTGCTTTTCTATGGTGACGGGATCATATTAATATATTACCAGATTCGTCCAAATTACCTTTTTTTGCTCCAGTTAAAAGGTTGTCGGTAGCTGCAAAACAAATTATAATATTTAAGTTTACTTGTCATTCAAATCAACAGTACTGGGGATGTCCTAATGTGGTATTAAAACATTCGTAATTTCGACATTATCACATTGACATTTAGCTAAAAACGTGGTTAGTACTAATGAGACTTTTGCCACCAGATATGGATGTTCTTCTTACCTTTTACTGTTCCCTCTACGACGTTGCCTGCGGCTGTAATAAAAATTGCAAAATTTCTTTTAAACTGTCATTCAAATAAACAGTACTGTAGGCCTACGATGACTTGTTAAAGCGTCAATCTTCCGGGCGAGAAAGAGGGATGGAGTCATGGATGGCCCTCTGGTGTCCTAATCTGATACTTAAACATTCATAATATTGACATTACCACATTGTCAGTTTGCAACTACGTGGTTAGTC